CACAGTTAATACCCACAGTCAAGGTCTAAAATGGCTCAAAGGAAGTAAGTTCTTGGAGTCAGTAGGAGACACACATGTGTCGAGCCTCCTAATGAGCCTAGTAATGCAGGGAAACTATTCTCAACAAAAGGAGATTCCACACGTGTCAGGTACACTCTGTGGGGGTGTAGGCAGGTGTGGCTGCAGAAATGGATCCTCTCCGTGCACTGGTGACAAGGAAAGAAGGCTGCTGGTTTGAGACAAAGAGCAGCTGCTGTTCCCAGGTGGTGACTGCAGCTCACAGCTGAGGTTAGCACTGGAACTGAGTGGAGAATGTGGGAGTTATGGGCATAGTCAGAGGTTGACCACTTGTCATAACATCCACAGGCTGGTGCCCGAGTGTCGGATTTGTTTGTGCACAGGATTCTTCTGCAGCAGAACAACTCCCCCCATGCTGTTCTTCCTCCTGGTGCCTTGCATCTTCCATGGACAGGTCTTTCTGAGCTTCTAACTCAACATTCTCTGGTCCACCTCTTGCTGCCTTTGGTTCTCTTCTCCACAGCCAGCAGAAACAGTTTCTGAACAACAAGGGAGTTCTTCTCTTTTTTGGAACAAAGTCCTCCTAGGTCAAGAGGGTGTGTGGATGAGGCTTGAAGCAAGTGTCTTCTTTCTGCTCTTTCAGATCTTCCTCCAGCTTCTGCTTCCAACTACAATTCATTTTAAAACCACATTGAGATACCACCTTACACCAGTTAGAATGGACAAAATTAGCAAGACAGGAAACAACATGTGTTGGAGGGGATGTGGAGAAAGGGGAATCCTCTTACACTGTTTGGTGGGAATGCAAGTTGGTGCAGCCACTTTGGAGAACAGTGTGGAGATTCCTCAAGAAATTAAAAATAGCGCTTCCCTATGACCCTGCCATTGCACTACTGGGTATTTACCCCAAAGATACAGATGTAGTGAAAAGAAGGTTCACCTGTACCCCAATGTTTATAGCAGCAATGGCTATGGTCGCCAAACTGTGGAAAGAACCAAGATGCCCTTCAACGGACGAATGGATAAGGAAGATGTGGTCCATATACACTATGGAGTATTATGCTTCCATCAGAAAGGATGAGTACCCAACTTCTGTAGCAACATGGATGGGACTGAAAGAGATTATGCTGAGTGAAATAAGTCAAACAGAGAGAGTCAATTATCATATGGTTTCACTTATTTGTGGAGCATAACAAATAGCATGGAGGACAAGGGGAGTTAGAAAGGAGAAGGGAGTTGAGGGAAACTGGAAGGGGAGGTGAACCATGAGAGACTGTGGACTCTGAAAAACAATCTGAGGGTTTTGAAGGGGCGGGGGGTAGGAGTTGGGGGAACCAGGTGTTGGGTATTAGAGAGGGCACGGTTTGTATGGAGCACTGGGTGCCGTGCAAAAACAATGAATTCTGTTACACTGAAAAAAAAAAAAAGTGATTCCTGATACAGACAGCAACAGGACTGTATCCACAAGGACTGATCCTGAGGCACAGAAGCCCTACAGAGAAAGTACGTAGAGTACAATGTCCCATTTATGAATTCTACAGAATTAAAGCTAGTATAAAGTGACTTGAGAAAGAACAATAGTTATGTGGGGACACCGTGAACCAGGGAAAGGGAAGGAGGAATTCCAGGGGGAAATGCTGGAAATTTTAAGGAGAATTGATGCACTCACTGTCAATAATGTTAATTGTGACACCTGTGTTTATCATATCACACACTCCGTATGTGGGCCATTGATCTTGTGTCAAATATACACACCAAACTTATTATAGGTAATAACAAAGGTGATTCTGTAGGGACGCAGAGAGACTGAATGTTAAAACCATGAAAATACACCTACACGATACTGATTTTCTCTGTATTTAAGGTAAAGTATAAAATAAGCAAAATAAATCCATCCCCATTACAGGAGGGGTTCCACATTCCTCATAGCCTGACACTCTGTCCTACAGAAGGTTCAGGTTGGGGGGCAGAAGCTCCTGTGGGGGAAGCACTGACCTAGATCCTGGGGCCAATCTCACCCCACATGTGTTCATGGACACCTTACAAACCCAAGCATACCCACTGGAAGGTTATGTAATAAAAAAGGGTTTTTTTGTGTGTGTTTTTGTTTGTTTGTTTGTTTGTTTGTTTTTCAAAATAGTCGTTAGCACTAAATTAAAGGCATTCACAACTGCTTGGGTCACTGCATCTCTGTCAGAATAGATCCCCAGGCTGAATATATAGCCAGAGGACATGCAAATAGGGCCTTCCCTCTGTTTATTTAACCAGCACAGCCAAGACCCTGCAGCTGGGAGTGGAGTCCCAGGCTCGGGATACTCAGGTGTTCATTCAGTGATCAGGACAGAATACAGACAACTCACCATGGAATTTCTGCTTGGCTGGGTTTTCCTTGTTGCTCTTTTAAAAGGTAATTCATGGTAAACAAGAGATGTTGAGGACAAGAGTGGATAAGAGTGAAAGAAACCATGGCTGCGTGACAGTTTCCTGACTAGGATGTCTTGTGTCTGCAGGTGTCCAGAGTGAGGTGCAGCTGGTGGAGTCTGGGGGAGACCTGGTGAAGCCTGGGGGGTCCCTGAGACTCTCTTGTGCAGCCTCTGGATTCACCTTCAGTAGCTATGCCATGCACTGGGTCCGCCAGGCTGCGGGGAAGAGGCTGCAGTGGGTCGCAGTTATTAGCAGTGATGGAAGTAACACATACTATGCAGACTCTGTGAAGGGCCGATTCACCATCTCCAGAGACAATGGCAAGAACACGCTGTATCTGCAGATGAACAGCCTGAGAGCCGAGGACACAGCCGTGTATTATTGTGTGAAGGACACAATGAAGGGCCTTCAGTGTCAGCCCAGACACAAACCTCACTGTGGGGGGCAGTATCTGGACCACTAGGGGGTGCACGCTACTCATCAGTTCTGTCTTTAAGCCCAGGAGCAGATGCCAATGGAGGTTATGGGCGGGTTTCCTGTCAGGATCCAGGGATTCCTCTCCAGAGAACACTATCCCTCAGGGCCCTCTCTGCACCATGATTCTGTGTTTACCTTTTCACTCTCTGACTTTGAAAATTTGTTCTATTGGGAAAAAAATTATACTAAAATGCACAAAATACAGAACCACTCACATTGTTTATTCCTGTCCTTAAATACCGATGAATCACAAATATCCTGATGCTCATCAACTGAGCCTTCACAGGAATCCCAGAGGCACTCAATATGCATCACAGGTCCCCTCAGCTCAATGTACAAACTTGATAAAAATGCATAAAGTGCACGCTAGACATGAGGCCACAGAGGCATCAACAATCCAATGTAAAAGAAGGAAGGGTCTTTGGGGGGGAGTGTCACTGTCTTAAACAGAGCTCAGAGCATCAGTGTTACTGACAATATTGGAAAGCAGTGGGACCCCCACAAGGTGTGGTGTGGATGTGGAGCCTGAACATTACACATACTCACACACACACACACACACACACGCACAAGTATAAAACCTTCATCACTTTCACCTAATTAGCATGGGTGGTCGGTCCTAATACAGAAATACACAGCACACAAGAATACCACAAGAAGCAAGAAAAATCTAAAAGACACCACCTAACATTACACCTGAAGGAGCTAGAGAAAGTGCAATGACTGAAGCCTGAATACAGCAGAAGGAAGGAAATTCTAAAGACTAGAGAAGAAATAAATGATATAAACCAAAAAACAACAGAACAGATTAAAAACAAAAAACAACAACGTCTGGTTCGTTGGAAAAAAATAAAATGAAATTGAGAAACCTCTGCCTAGATTTATCAAAAAGAAAAAAGAAAGCCCCAAGTAAATAAAATCAGAAATCAAAATGTTTCTCTGGGGAACAAACAGGGTTTTGGAGGGGTGGAGGTCAGGGGATGGGGTAACGTGGGGACGGGCGATAAGGAGGAACAGTGGGAGTTACACACAAATAATGAATGGTTGAACACTACATCAAAAACGGATGATATATATAGGGTGGATAGCTGAACACAATTTAAAAAGGAATTTAAGCAGATATGTTGTGAGTATAAATAAATAAATAAATAAAGCTAGAATTCTAAGAGGAACATTCCCCAACCCAAATCCTGAAATTATACTTAAAATTCTGTCTTAAACTAGGAGTGGCTGGGGGGAGGGTGGTAACTGGCTGAGGGGCATTAAGGAGGACACTTGATGCAATGAGCACTCGGTGTCACATGCAACTGACGAATCAATAAGTTCTGACTCTGAAACCAGTGATGCACTGTGTGTTAACTGAACTGAATTTAAATAAAAAATTTTAAAACATAAAACAAGAAATCAGTCTAATCTAGTGTGTCATTCAAAGTCCTTGTTTTGAAAAATGCCAGTGGAATGTTGATCAGGATGGCACTGAAAGTATAGATTGCTCTGGGCAGTATAGATATTTTAACAATGTTTATTCTTCCAGTCCATGAGCATGGAATATTTTTCATCATTCTGTGCTGGAACAAACAATCCTAAAATTTGTGTGGAACCAAAAAATACCCTGAATTGTTCAGGAAATGTTGAAAAAGAAAAACAACGCTGGGGGCATCACGTTGCCTGATTTCAAGCTTTACTACAAAGCTGTTGTCACAAAGGCCACATGGTACTGGCACAAACACAGACACACGTACCAGTGGAAGAGAGCAGAGAGCCCAGATATAGACCGGCAACTCAATGGTCAAATAATCTTCGACAAAGCAGTAAAAAATAACCAGTGGAAAAAAGACAGTCTCTTCAATAAATGGTGTCAGGAAAATTAGACTGCCATGTGTAGAAGAATAAAACTCAACCATTCTCTTACACCGTACACATAAACTCGAAATGGATAAAAGACCTCAACATGAGGCAGGATGCTACCAAAATTCTAGAGGAGAACATAGGCAGTAATTTCTTTGACATCAGCCACAACAACTTCTTTGAAGACATGTCACCAGAGGCATCTGGGTGGCTCAGTAGGTTAAGTCCTCTGCCTTTGATTCGGGTCATGGTCCCCAGGTCTTCGGATCGAGCCCCGCATTGGGCTCTTTGCTCAGCGGGGAGCCTGCTTCCTCCTCTCTCTCTCTGCCTGCTTGTGACTTCTGTCTGTCAAATAAATAAAAACAAAATCTTAAAAAAAAAAGGACATGTCTCCAAAGCAAAGGAAAAATAAGCAAAAATGAACTTTTGGGACTTCATCAAGATCACAAGCTTCTGCACAAGCAAAGGAAACAGTCAACAAAACAAACAGACAACCCACAGAACACAAGACGATATGTGCAAATGAAGGTACAGACAAAGTGCTGATATCCAAGATCTGTAAAGAACTCCTCAAACTCAAAACACACAAAACAGATAATCATGTCAAAAAATGGGCAGAAGACATGAACAGACACTTCTTCAATGAAGACATACAAATGGCTATCAGACACATGAAAAAATGTTCATCATCACTAGCCATCAGGAAGATTCAAATCAAAACCACATTGAGATACCACCAGTCACCAGTTAGAATGTCAGAAATTAACAAAAAAGGAAACAACGTGTGTTGGAGAGGATATGGAGAAAGGGGAACCGTCTTACATTTCTGGTGGGAATGAAAGTTGGTGCAGCCACTCTGGAAAACGGTGTGGAGATTCAATTAAGAAATTGAAAATTGACCTTCCCTATGACCCTGAATTGCACTACTCGGTATTTACCCCAAAGATACAGACGTAGTGAAAAGAGGGGCTATCTCTACCCCAATGTTTATAGCACCAATGGCCACAGTCAACAAACTGTGGAAAGAACCAAGATGACCTTCCACAGATGAATGGATAAGGAAGATGTGGTCCATATACACTATGGAGTATTATGCCTCCATCAGAAAGGATGAATACCCAACTATTGTATCAACATGGACAAGAGTGGAGGAGATTATGCTGAGCGAAGTAAGTCAAGCAGAGAGACCCAATTATCACATGGTTTCCCTTAGTAGAGCGTAAGGAATTACATGGAGAACATCAGGAGGTGGAGAAGAGAAGTGAATTGCGGAAAATTGGAGGGGGAGACAAACCATGAGAGTCTTTGGACTCTGAGAAACAAACTGAGGGTTTTGGAGGGGAGGGGCTGAGAGGGTGGGTGAGTGTGGTGGTGGGTATTAAGGAGGGCATGTACTGCATGGAGAACTGGGTGTGGTGCATAAACAATGAATTCTGGAACACCAAAATTGAAAAACTAAATAAAATTTGTTTTAAAATTACATGATTAAAAAAAAAAGTCCCTTATGATTTGTCTCCCTCCAAATCCCATATCACGAAGAATATCATTGAACAGAAATTTATGGAGACAATCCATAGAAACAAAGACTTCACAGGTAACATGATGTCAATAAAAACGTATCTCTCAATAATCACTCTAACGTGAATGGCCTAAATGCACCCATAAAATGGCACAGGGTTGCAGATTGGAAAAAACGACAGGACCCATCCATATGTTGTTGAACTTCTGGGACTCCATCAAGATCAAAAGCTTCTGAGCAGCAGAGTTCTTTATAGATCTTCTATACCAACCCTTTATCTGTAATGTCATTTCAAATATCTCCTCCCATTCCCTGGGTTTACTCTTGGTTTTGTTCACTACGAATACCAAGGAAATGCAGACAATTGTTAGAACATACTATGAATCACGATATGCCAACAAATTAGGCAGTCTGGAAGAAATGGATGCATTCTTGGAAACTAATAAAGTAGCAATACTGAAACAGGAGGAAGTAGAACATATGAACAGACACTCAGCCAGGAGGACACTGAAGCAGCAATCAAAAACAAGAGTCCAGGGCCAGATGACTTCCAGGGGAATTCTGCCAAACACTCAAGGAAGAAATCATACCCACTCTACTGAAGCTGTTTCAAAAAATGGAAAGAAAACTCCTGAACTCCTTCTGTGATGCCAGCATTACATTGATCTCAAGACCAGATAATGGCCCCAACAAAAAGAATTACAGACCAATGGATGCCGAACATGAATGCCAAAATACTCACAAAAGTACTAACCAAGAGGATACAACAGTACATTCATTTTTTAATTCGCCATTTATTTCTTTTGTGTTTTTTGTGGGGGAGTCACTACTTTTATTTTTTTAACACGTTTATTTTATTTTATTTTTTTCTGTGTTCCAAGATTCATTGTTTATGCACCATATCCAGTGCTCCATCCAATAGTACATTAAAAGGATTTTTCACCAGGACCAGGTGGGGTTTATTTCTGGTGTGTAAGGGTAGCTCAGTCTTTGCAAATCAACGTAAGAGATCACTTTAACAAAAGGAGAGAGAAGAACCTTTTAACCCTCTCAATTCAATAGGGAAAGCATTTGACAAAATACATCATCCTTTCCTGATTAAAATTCTTCAAATATAGGGATAGAAAGAACATAACTCAACAGAATAAAAACCATCTACAAATAGCTATAGGAAATATCATTCTTAATGTAGAAAAACTGAGAGCTTGCCCTAAGGTCAGGAACAGAACAGGGATGTCCACTTTTACCACTATTGTTCATCATAGTACTAGAAGTCCTAGCCACAGAAATCAGACAATAAAAATAAATAAAAGGCATTCAAGTTGGCATACAAGAAGTCAAACTCTCTCTCATTGCAGAGGACATGATACTTTCTGTGGAAAACCAAAAAGACTCCACCCCAACATTGCTAGATTTTATATAGAAGGTGACCAACGTGGCAGGATGTTTAATTAATGCACAGAGATCAGTGGTACTTCTATACATTAAAATATGATTTAAGAAAGAGGAGATAATAAATTGATCCCATTCACAATTGCACCAAAACCATAAGACATCTAGGAATAAACCTAACCAAAGAAGTAAAACATCTGTACTCTAGAAACTATGGAACCCATATGAAACAAACTGAGGAAGACACAAAGAGATGGAGAAATATTCCATGCTCATGGAATGGAAGAATGAACAGTGTTAAAATGTCTATGCTGCCCAGAGCAATCTATATATTCAATGTAATCTCTATCAAAATACCATCAACATGTTTCACAGAGCTGGGAACAAACAACTCTATAATCTGTATGGAGCCAGAAAGGGCCCCAGATCACAGGGCAGCCTGGTGGTGGGTATGAAGAAGGGCATGTATTGCATGGACCACTGGGTGTGATGCATAAACAATGAATCTTGGAACACTGAAAAAATAAAATAAAGCTTAAATAATAAAATAGAAAATAAATTAAAAAAAGAAAACCAAAAGTGGGACCGTCACAATGCAAAGCTGAGATCATCAAGAAATCATGGTATTAGCAGAAAAACAGATACATAGATCAGTGGAACAGAATAGAGAGGCCAAAAATGGATCCTCAAGTATCTTCCTTTCTCTCATTAATAAATAAACAAACAAACAAACAAACAAATAAATAAAATCTTTGAATAATATAAAAATAAAATAGTCATGATTCTCAATGCAGTGCCACATGGTTAGGACTTAACACCCCAGCTGCTCTTCCTAGCTCATCTGCATCCATACCTCATGGGCAGCATGTCCAGGAACAATTGCCTCCCATGTCCTGCCTCTGTGCAATAGTCCTGTGCTCCTCTACCTGGTTGGTTCAGAGGGTGCTGCTGGGTACTCAGGAAGCATGGACAAGTGTCAGCTGGCATTCCTTTGCACCTCCCATCCTAGGTAGGGAACAAGCCCAAGCTTGAGGATACCCATCTCCCATGTGCTCTTCCCCTGGTCTTCACCACCTGGCACCATCCATGTATTCCAATACCTGCTTCTGATGTGAATTTTCAGATGAAGGGAAGTTTCATTAATGATTGACACTAAAAATAATTGGGAGCAAGTGTAGGCACAATATTAGATTTTAGCTGCATGGAAAGGGAACCATTGTTTTCACTCTCAGAAGACAGTGTAGGGGTTTATAAAATGTGTCAAAGCACAGAAGTGCCTTCCTTTCTTGGAATCAATCATCAGAAAGTTAATACCCAAATTTGCAAAGTGCTAGGTCACTGGGATAAGTTTAACTCTATGATCTTGGCAATAACTGTGAGATTAGAAGTACAATGATCTCCATTTCATGGATGAAGAAATTTCCCTAAATAACAACATCCATTCTAAACTCAGGTGTTGTGAGTTTCATTGTTTGCTAATGATTCCACCATTTCATTTTTATTGAGGCTTCCATGGGTGTGTATAGAAAGATCATGTATAAATGCTCCTTGTGGTTTTTGAAAACCCAGTGTCTGCATCAACTCTCTGAGTCTCTCCCTAGGATTGTCAGTGTCTCCAAAATTCTGAGACAGGAAGAGTTTGTTTCCACCCTTCAGTATATTTAGGAATCTTGAAACTCAGGAACATTGCAGACCTCACTGAGAAAGATCAACTCTGACCTGGAAGTAGTTCAGGTAAACAGGAAAGTCCCATGGTGGGGAGCACAGGCCCAGACATGGGCTCACACTCACCTGCTGTGTGCTCTTGGACACTCACAAAGCCCCTCTCTGTTGCAGTGTGGATGTATCCACCCATAAAATGGTGATAAATGGATACCTACATCACATGTTATTCATAGAGAAAAAAAAAAAGACATTGAGTATGTGAGTGGATAGTAATGAAAGAAACAGTGGATGTGTGACAGATTCTTGACCAGGATGTCTTGGGCCTGCAGGTGTCCAGTGTGAAGTACAGCTGGTGGAGTCTGGGGGAGAACTGGCGAAGCCTGGTGGGTCCCTGAGACTCTCCTGTGCAGCCTCTGTATTCACCTTCAGTAGTAATGCCTTGAGATGGGTCTTCCAGGCTCCAGGGAAGGGGCTGCAGTGGGTCTCACATATTAGCAGTGATGGAAGTAGCACAAGCTATGGAGACTCTGTGAAGGGCCAACTCACCAGCTACAGAGATGACACCAAGAACATGCTGTATCTGCAGAAGAACAGCCTGAAAACACTGTGTGAATGACAGAGTGAGGGAACATCAGTATGAGCTCAGACACAAACCTCTCTATAGAAGGGGATATGGACCAATAGCAGGTGCACCCTACAATTCTGTCTTTAAACGACATGAGCAGATGTGGATGGAGGAAATGGGCAGGTTTCCTCTCAGGGTCTGGGGTTTTCTTTCCATGGAGTATTTTCTCCCAGGTAGCCTCTCTACACACATGATTCTGTGCTTCATCTTCACTCTCTGATGTAAGAAGTTAGGAAGTCAACTATACTAACAAGTGCAAAAGTCTGTCATTTGCATGTATTTGTTCCTGTCCCTAAATATGAATGAATTACATATATCTACATACACATATTCTGAACATTTTCAGGAGTCCCAGATGCACTTACTGTGTATCAGAGGACCACCCAGCTCAATGTGCAAGTTTTCTAGAAACAGCATAAAGTGCAACCTGGCCATGATGCTATAGAGGGAACAAAAAAATAAGGAAAGTGAAAAAAGACCAGTGATAGGGTCACTATCTGGAACTATGCTCACAGCATTAATATTATTGAAGCATGTGAAAGCAGAGAGAAACCCCTGAGGACATTGTGTAAATGTGGAGTCTGAAGATCTGTCTCTCTCCTCTCTCTCTCTCTCCCTCTCTCTCTCTCTCTCTCTCTCACACACACACACACACACACGTATGCATGCGCACGCATGCATGCGTGTGCACTAACATGAGAGAGAGTCTAAAAATTTATCACTTTCATTCAGGGGAGCGTATTGTGTAGAGGCAGTCTCCTACACTGACCAAGGAGGGAGAATCCAGGGATTCTTATTAGGTTTCCCAAGTGTGGGGTGTGAGAAGAGGGAGGGATGAAGATTAAGGAGTGAGCAGGCAATAATCAAGGATAGGTTCTAATGACTACGTCCACTGAAAAATATGAGAACTTGGAGAACAAAAAAGAAAAAATGCCATTCTAAGTAGAAAACAGAATCCTTTGTAAATGAAAACAATGTCACAGGGAAAAAGCACAAATTATAAAATTATAATAGAGATGACTGAAGTCTTAACCAGTGTCTAAGAGGGAAGCTGTCCACTCCCCCAAGGTCACCAACTGGCTCTGAAGTTCTTGTGTTCACTGTGTGCTTGCAGAGACCAGAAGCTTCTGCTGGATCCTTGAGAATCCTCAGGTTGACATGCTGGTTGGGAGGAGGCTTCTACCTTCAGGGAACAACTAACGGATTTTTCCATTGCTGAGATCTGCTCAATGTGTGTGACCTCTACCATCACAGGTTGAAACATAAGGACGATGTGGTATGAGGAAAAGGTGGGGCCTTAGCGAAGCATTTATGTCAGGAGTGTGCAGCCTCATGGTGAGATTAGTGCCCTTATACTCCAGGACTGGGAAAGCTCCCTGCACTGTGACCCCCTGTGAGGTGACAGGGAAAGGATGGACTAGGAGGTGGGTGCTCTCCAGACTTCAAAGCTGTCTGCCCCTGTCCTGGGACTCCCCATAATATAGAACTGAGATAAATTCGTGCCTGTTATTTAAAACCACCCAGTCCATGGACATTGTTACAGCAGCTGGAGCAGACGAAGACATTCATGGCACATGAACCCAAGCACTGATGCTCTGGAGTTCCCCTGCTGCATTTGTTGTAAAAAGTACCTGATAAGGTCCTTCAATGAGGTTCAAGGGTGGATTTCCTACATGCTTCCTCCTGCAGATAGGACTACCCAGCTGGCTATCCTAGGACGTTGTGAAATAGACACAGTGGACACATAGGAGAACCTTTAGAAAAGGGAGACAGGGTTTCTGAGACTGTGGAACTTTATTTTAAAGATGCTGGTTTTTCTTAAGATTTTATTTATTTATTTGAGGGAGAATGAGTGAGAGAGAGCATGAGAGAGGAGAAGGTCAGAGGGAGAAGCAGACTCCCCAAGGAGCTGGGAGCCCAATGCGGGACTCGATCCTGGAAGTCCAGGATCATGACCTGAGCTGAAGGCAGCCGCTCAACCAACTGAGCCACCCAGGCGCCCCAAGATGCTGGTTTTTTTTTAACCTTTCCAGAAGTTGTGGATGTGACCACCCTGGGGGAATAGAGTCTGAGAATCACCTTACAAAGTTGCGTTATACTGATTGCCATGAGTTGTGCACCTGTCACTGAATGTTCTGTTGTTAACCCTTGTCCTGATTTGAAACTCACTTGCATCTGTGACTCTTCCTGGGGTCAAGATGGTAGGGTCCACGTGCTGTGCTCAATACTGGAAACACTCAAAGGTACCCACATTACCTGTAGACATTTTCACTCTTTAGTTGTCTGCAAACCTTTTCCTAATTGGTCTCTACACTAACCAGGGAATACTACCTACTATCCAGCCAGAGTTGTCGTTGGTAATGTCCACAACATCACAGGCTCCTGGGAGCCCCAAATGTCTGTCCCCTAGAATCCACCTCCACCCACATAAACATAAGCACACCTGGCATACATTCTTCACTTTGATCAGTGATGGCAGCAGGTCTCTGTTCAGGTCCACACACACCCTGAGTGTCATGTACACTCATCAAGTCTATTGCCAATAACCACAGAGATGACTCTGGCAGAATGTAGAAATAAAGAAATATTAGAAACTGGAAAATGCAACTCCATGAACCATCATTCTCTCTTTATTTCAGGTAATCTCTAAAACAAGCAAAATCATCCTGTCCCCATTACAGGTGGGGCTCCACATTCCTCATGAGCCTGACACTCTGTCCTGCAGGTGTTCCATGGGTGAAGTACATCCTGTGGCAGGAGCACAGAACAGATCATGGGGTCGCTCTTACCCTGTACATGCTCTAGACTCCTCAAAAGCCATCTAAAATTCTAGGTATACACTCTCATCTCTTAATGGGGTCACATTAAATCTACACCTAAAGATTTTGTGCATGTGTAAAAAAAAAGGTAGCACATGGAGGTTAACCCTGCACTCTAGAAAAACATATAATAAAAAAATATTATTTTCCATAAGGCTGTCAATTCCACGAAATCAAATGCAATCACACCTGCTCTGGTGACTGCCCTCTCTGTTCATATAGGCCCCAAGATGAATATATACTCAGAGGACATGCAAATAGGGCCTTTGCTCTGCTGATTAAAGCAGCCCAACCCTAACCCTGCAGCTGGGAGAGGAGCCCCAGCCCCCATACTTCCAGGTGTTCCCATTCACTAATCAGGACAGGATAACGGAAACTCACCATGGAGTTTGTGCTTGGCTGGCTTTTCTTTTTTGCTCTTTTAAAAGGTAAATTTCAGAGAATTAGGGACCTTGAGTGTGAGACTGAATACGAGTGAGAGAAACCATGGATGTGTGACAGTTTCCTGACCAGGATGTCTTGTGTCTGCAGGTGTCGAGTGTGAGGTGCAGCTGGTGGAACCTGGGGGAGACCTGGTGAAGCCTGGGTGGGTCTCTGAGACTCTCCTGTGCAGCCTCTGGATTCACCTTCAGTAGCTACTTCATGAACTGGGTCTGCCAGGCTCCAGGGAAGGGGCTGCACTGGGTCGCATGTGTTAGCAATGATGGAAGTAGCACATACTACACAGACTCTGTGAAAGGCTGATTCACCATCTCCAGAGACAACGGCAAGAACACGCTGTATCTGCAGATGAACAGCCTGAGAGCTGAGGACACTGCTGTGTATTACTGTGCAATGGGCACAGTGAGAGGACATAAGTGTGAGCCCAGACACAGACCTCACTGTAGGACGGGATCTGGACCACCAGGGGGCGGACACCACTCACCAGTTCTGTCTTTAAGCCCCAGGAGCAGGCACAGGTGGAGGATATGGGCAGGTTTCCTGTCAGGGTCTTTGGCATTCATGCCTTCAAGCTTTTTCCCCAAGGGAGCCTCTCTGATTCACATGATTCTGTGCTTCCTCTTGAGTCTCTGACTTGGATATTTGGGACAACAACTATACTATCATGCACAAAAGACAGTGTCACTTACACTGGCTTGTTCTGTCCCAAAATACTAAAGAATTATAAATATCTCCATGTGTGTCATCTGAACCTTACAGGTGTCCCAGATACATTCTCTGTTCATCAGAGGACCCCCCAGCTCATTGTCCGAGTTTGTTAGAAGCAGTGTAAAGTGCATGCTGGATATGAGCCTACAGAGGCATCGAAAATCCAAAGCAAGAGAATTAAGAGCCATGGTACTGTCTCTATTTTGAACAATACTCACAGTGTCAATGTTAATCACAGTGTGGGAAAGAGGAGGAAACCTGAACTAGGATGTTGTGTGCATACAGAGTTTGAAGATTACACACACACACACACACACACACACACACACACACGAATATAAAACATTTTTACATTTTATTTTATTTTTTCACTGTTCCAAGATTCATTGTTTATGCACCACACCCAGTGCTCCATGCAATCCGTGCCCTCTGTAATACCCACCCACCAGGATCACAAAACCTCCCACCCCCACCCCTTCAAAACCCTCAGATTATTTTCAGAGCCATAGTCTCTCATGGTTCGTCTCCCCTGCATATTCCCCCAACTCCTTTCTCCTCTCTTTCACCCACTGTCCTCCGTGTTATTCCTTATGCTCCACAAGTAAGTGAAACCATGTAATAATTGACTCTCTCTGCTTAACTTATTTCATTCAGCATAATTCCTCCAGTATTGTCCATGTTAATACAAAAGTTGGGTATTCATCCTTTCTGAGGGAGGCATAATACTCCATAGTGTATATGGACCACATCTTCCTTATGCATTCATCTGTTGAAAGTCATCTTGGTTCTTTCCACAATTTGTTGACTGTGGTCATTGCTGCTTTGAACATTGGGGTACAGAGGGCCCTTTTTTTTCACCACATCTGTATCTTTGGAGTAAATATTCAGTAGTGCTATTGGAGGCTCATATGGTAGCTCTATTTTTTTAATTTCTTAAGGAAATTCCACACTGTTTTCCAAAACAGCTGCACCAACGTGTATTCCCACCAACAGTGTAAGAGGGTTCCCCTTTCCCTACAAACT